AGACAAGAAATAGACCAGTGGTTGCCAGAAAAGGGAGAGAACGGAATGGGGAGTGACTGCTGACAGCTTTGGGGCTTCTCACTGGGGTGATGTCTTAGAATTAAATAGTGGGCATGATGTGAATACACTAGCCGGACGTGGTAGCACACCCATGTAATCCCAGCTACCTGGGAGGCTGAGGCAGGAGGATGGCAAATTCAAGCTCAGCCTGAGCAATGCTACAACTCAGTGAGACCCCATTTCAAATAAGGAAGGGCAGTGCTAGGTCTGTAGCTCAGTGTGAAGGCCCTGGGTTCAATCCCCAATTCCATAAAAGGTCATTGAATTAAAAAGGGCTAGGGAAGTAGCTCAATAGTACAGTACTTTCCTGACATGCACAAGACTTCGGGCTCAATCCCCAGTACTGAGAAGAAGAAAAAATTGTGACTATACTAAAGATAACTGACCCGTACACATAAGGATGGTGACGTTTGTGTTGTGTGAATTACGTCTCAATAATTTTTAGGGAAGCTGGGTCTGCAACTCCGGGAAAGCATTTGCCTAGTGTGTGCAAAATGATAATAATTGTTGTCAGGCTAATAATACCAGAACCAAGCAACGAAGAAACCCGTGGGAGAGCTGCCAGGGGCAGGACCCGGGAGGGAAGGGACACTTCCCCGAGTCTGGCAGGTCCAAGCTCAGGCCAGGGCCAGGGAGGGGCCGGCAGCACCCAGCCCTGCCCATTGCCCGTGCGCCTGCCCACTGGCCCACAGGAGAGCCGCCTGGCCCAGCACACCATCCAGGCGCTGCAGGGCGAGCTGGACAGCCTGCGAGCAGACAACATCAAGCTCTTCGAGAAGATCAAGTTCCTGCAGAGCTACCCCGGCCGGGTGAGTGCCCACCCCACGTTCCCCCCGACCCCCACACAGGTGGGAGGGGCTGGCAGCACCCCAGAGATCACAGGGTCAGAGGCAGTGATCTGCTGGCCAGCGCTAGGCTTGGGGACCCCCATCCCTGCCTCCGCTCTTCAGAGTGGAGCCCCATAGAGATCTGTTCACCAGAGTCAGCCAGGAGGTGGCTCCTGTGAAGTGGGGGTGATCCAGTAGGCACACCCACAAGATCTGGGTGTTCCCCCATGCTGCCCCTGGCCTCTCAGCCCCCAGCCTTCCCAGGGACCAGCATGTGCATGGAAACCGTTCTGTGACTGAGGGGGAGACCCCGTGGGTGGTAAAGAGGGAGCTAAAATACTCAAGGCCCAGGCTTCCTGGGACCTCAGCCCAGCATTCCAGCCCTGCGGGCAATCCCACCGTTCAGCTGGAGCGCCATCGGCCACCAGAGGGCGCCTAGACTCCACAAACTAATGCTGCTCACATTAACTGTTTTGTTCTGTTTTGGTTTTTGTTTTTTGTTTTTTGAGATAGAGTCTTGCTATGTAGCCAGGCTGGCCTGGAACTCATGGCAATCCACCTGCCTCAGTCTCGCAAGTCCTGGGATCACAGGCATGTGCCACCATGCCTGACTGCTCTTGTTAACTTGGTGAAGGTTTCTCCCAGGTGCCTGCCTGCCCCCCAACAATCCCAGCTACACAGGAGGCTGAGGCAGGAGAATCATTTGTGTCCAGGAGTTCCACAGCCAGCCTGGACAACATAGTGAGATCCCAACTCAAAAACAAAAACCAAGACAGACACCACCTCAGTTGTCTTGTCCCTTCCAGCCCATCTGGGCCTTGGTTCCCCAGACGGGCCCAGAGGTGAGGTGGCCTTGACCCTGGAGGAAGAACTCTGGCCCCAAGCCATGCTCCTGTGACACTAGCCACCGGTCACATCCTGGCCCCCTCCCCCACCTGTGCGTGGCCAATGAGGAAACTGTCTCCACTGTGATTCTGTCTCCTGCCTTCCCTTGGACACTGGCCCCTCCCATCGCGCCTCAGGCAACTGAGTCCTCTCTCCTCCCCGTGCGCAGGGCGGCAGCAGCGACGACACGGAGCTGCGGTACTCTTCCCAGTATGAGGAGCGCCTGGACCCCTTCTCCTCCTTCAGCAAGCGGGTTTGTGAACCCAGCCCCCAGGACAGGAGGGGGCAGGCAGGCGCAGGCTGTCTGGACTCTGGGGAGACCCAGTCCCCCGCCCGCCTGCTTCCAGCCTACCTGTGGGCAGGCAGATGGACAGGGCGGACAGATGGCGCCCTAAAGATGCACAGTACCGTAGGGGCCCTGGGCCTGCTGAGGAACGCAGGTGTCTCTCGAGCTGAGGGCGCAGCATGGGACAGGTGGGCCCGGCGGGTGCTGTGGGGACCAGCAGACCAGCACGGGGGTCCCAGCGCCCAGTGTCAGGTGGCCAGCGGTGAACTTGCCCACAGTCAGGACAGGCATCAGATTAGCACTGGGCCCTGGCCTCTGCAGGAAGAGCGGCCCATGCATGAGCAGTGCCCCTCTCTGCATGGGGCCCTCTGGGGTCCTTTCCCATTGTCCTGTCCCCACAGGAGCGGCAGAGGAAGTACCTGAGCCTGAGCCCATGGGACAAGGCCACACTCAGCATGGTACGTCCCGGCCCCTGTGCCCACCCAAGACAGACCAGAGCTTCTGTCTCGGTGACCTGGTCACCTGCTCTTCAGCCCCTTCTGGAGAAGGCCCAGGGACCACTCAGTGCCTTCCCACGCCCTGCCAAGCGTGACCTGAACAAGGTCCCCTCCCAACAGCACTGCTCCAGTGGTTCACTGCAGGTTCTGGGGTGGGGCTGCAGGGGGCGCCCTTCCTCAGCCATCTTACAGCCCTAGTGCCCTGCCTGTCCTCGCAGTGTGTCAGCCCCCTCCCTCCCCTCCTAGACCTGGGCCCTGCCCCACCCCACCCCAGCCTTGTCTGCTCCTAGGGCCGGCTGGTTCTCTCCAACAAGATGGCGCGCACCATCAGCTTCTTCTACACACTCTTCCTGCACTGCCTGGTATTCCTGGTGAGTGGCCACCCAGGGGTGTCACCTGGCTCCCCCACCCCACCCAGCAACACCCTCAGCCCTGAGCCATGGCTCTCCCTTGCAAGGGCTTAGACCTGCCCTGGGGACAAGGAGCCAGCCAAGGGGTCCTACTGTCCCCAGGGACACAGGGGCCTCAGTCACGGGCTGCAGCCAAGCAGAGGCCTGGTGATGCCTCTGGGTCCATCATGCTGCAGCGGCAGCACGGGCCGTGTGCATCCAGCTCACAGTACCCCTGCTGTTCCAGGTGCTCTACAAGCTGGCCTGGAGCGAGAGCGTGGAGAGGGACTGCGCTGCCACCTGCGCCAAGAAGTGAGGGCCCCCAGCCCTACAACCGCAAGCCAAGGCCCCCAATACCCCCGGAAACACTACCAAGCTCCCTAATATGATCCCTGCTCCTCCACCCTCATGCTGGTGCACCCCAGCCCCTACCTGTCGCAGGGTACACCCCTGATCCTCCCGCTCCCATCCCCTCACACATCCCTCCCCCCGTTATACTTGGCCTCAGCAAAAGTTTCTGTGCCCCCAGGTTTGCTGACCACCTGCACAAGTTCCATGAGAATGACAACGGGGCAGTGGCTGGTGACTTGTGGCAGTGACCCTGGAGGCCTCGCCGCGACAGTTATGGCTGCATCCCCACCCCTGCTTGAGCAATTGCTTCTAATGACTTAGGCTTTCCCAGAACCCCTCCCCACATGGAAACTGTCCTTTTCCTCAGCCCAAGAACTGGGGTCCTGGGGTCCCTTGGAAGAGTATCACCACCACATCAGGCCCCCCAGGTCCAGACAGCCCCCAGGGCCCAGCCAGGCTGAACCATCACTCCAGGCTCCAACCGCAGTCGGGCCTCTAGCCCGGGTGGCACAGAGCCCTGGCTATGACACCATCAGTCACCACTGATCCTGGCAGCAGTGGGGCTTTGGGCGCCCCCACACCCCAAAAGCAAGAACGCCCCTTCCCTCGAGGCCAGCAGGCTTTGCGTTGAGCCCCTTCCACCTGCCTTGGTCACCAAGCCTGCCCTGAGAGCGTGGGTTAAGCAAGACCGAGTCTGCTCACCACTACCACAGGGGAAGCCCTCAGGATGGGAGTTTCTAGCACCCCTCCCTGTCCCTGTCCCATCATTTCTGCTTTCTTCTTTAGCAAGGTCTTCTGGTTTCTAGATGAGGAAGCATCTCAGTCCCAAGAACAGGTTCAAGGGCAGGTGCCTCTCGAGTGGGCACCTCTTCGGCCCGGGCAGGTCTTCCTAAGTTAGGTTTGCGCTTGCACGTTCAGCTTTGCACATTCAGAATAAATAAACCACAGTTGCAGCCACACTGGTGTCCCGTGCTCTGTGACTCCTGGGCTCTGGGACCCTGGGGGTCTGGAGGCCTGGAAACTGGGTTGGCCCAGTGATTTGGGGCATGGCCCTGGCACACAGGGGCATTGCTCCCATCTGCCTGTCCCCAAGATTTCTGTGAGCCGGTCCAGAGTATGGCTAAAAGCCAAGCCTGCCCTGGCTGTCTCTTGAGCAGACATGCAGCCCCATCAGAAGGGGAAACCTGTTTCTTTCTTCAAACGCCATCTGACTGGCTGTGGCTGGGAACATGACGTGTCTCGGCAGCTCTACGTCAGTGCCTGGGGAAATCCCTGCTTCCCTTTCTGTGCCCCTCAAAGCCGTGGCTGGCATCATCCCCCATCCCAGTGGCCTACGAGGTTGGCTGCAGACCCTGCTTGGCCCTACAGTCCAGCAGGCCACGGCCCTCTGCACCCCCTCAGGTTTCGTCCTGAACTCTCTGGAGCTGGGGCATCCAGGGGCCCGTCTTTGGGGTCCCACCACCAGCACCCCTCATCATCTGCTCCCTCAGAATTTCGTTCAAGGCTCCAGAGCCTTCTGCCCTCAGGGACCCAGGATAGACCTGTCCTCTCTAACCCCAATTCTTGTCCCCCGCAGCAGCTGCTCTTGGCCAATCACAGCCCCTCGCCTCCCCCTTTCCACATCTCCCATCAGTTCCTCCTTGCTGGCCAGAGTCACTGGGCAGACAGCGCCTCCTCACTTCCTCCTCCTGGGGAATCAGAGCTATTGTCTTCCTGGCTCCCCCATCCCAGGACCCCCTCCGGTCACAAACAGCCCACGGGCAAGCCCAGGGCACATCTTGGAAGCAGGTTAGTCCACTGCTGGGCAGGCTGCCCATCTCCCAGGAGGGTGGGATCCACAACCAGGCTGCTCCAGGCAGAGTAAAGGAGTCTGTCGCTCTTTCTCTTCCTCTCTCTCTGCTGGCAGCCAGCCCCCCCACCGCACCCCTCCCTGCCCAGCCTCATTCATAGCTGTCCTGTTTCCCAGGCGCACATCCAGCCTGTGTGCTGCTGGGATCGATGGCTGGACGGTCGCCTAAGCTTTCATTAAGTGTTTGCCGGCTAGCTCCTGCGAGGGGGCAGCTGGTACCAGGGCCTCGGCCAAGGACTGGCTGGCTTCAGTGCCCCCTTGGAGGGCAGTGCCAGAGGTGGTACTGGGCAGCAGGTCAGGGGTCCAGTGTCACCAGCCCACAGCTCCCCTCCAGGGGCTATCCTTTCCATCCCTAAAGAAAGAACTGACCCCTGCTCACTCTGCTTCCTGGAAAGTCAGAGATGAGATGGCTCTGGGAGAGGTAAAAAGCACTGGAAAAGGTCAGAGGTCAGGTCAGGGAAGGCAGCAGATGGAGACAGTGCCAGGAGGGAGCCAGCAGCAGATCACAGAGCCACTGCCAGAGGCCCCTGGGGACTGAAGGCCTGGAGCAGGGGGCAAGGAGAGACAGGAGAGGAGAAGGTGCCCGGGGAGGGCTCTCACCTCTGCCCACCCCTTCTCCCCTGCACCACCAGTTCAGGGCCTGGTGGCGGCCCCAGCACCCCCAGATTCAGACCATAAGCGCCTTCGAAACCCTGCAGGGCTGATTCCTTAGCCTGGCTTCTCTCTACCTTAACAGCAGCTGATTTCTGCCAGAAAGCCAGATGGGGTGAGGAACCGGGGGTGTGGTCCCCCATGAGCACGCACGACCTCCAACACCTCTCCCAGAGGCGCCAGTCTCCCCACCACGCAGAAATTGGGGTGTGGAACCCTGCTCGCGAGGCCCCCACCCTGGGGTCCGGGGGCGATTTCCCGAGCTTGGAGGGCCGGAGGGAGGGGGCGTGGTACTCGCCCTCCGGATTTATGAGAACCAGACACAGACTTCCTCCGTTGCGACATCTGCGCCTTCTCGAAGCTCCAATTGTCCCCGCGGCGAAGGGCCCCGCCATAGCGTCGCCCCGGCCTGGCGTCAGTCACCGCGGGGCCCGATCCGCGCTTCCACGCGGGGTAACCACCCCAACCCACCCCGGGGCTCCAGGAGACGCTTCGACCCAGGAGGGATCTCTGCACCCGGGCTGGGGCAGGTTCCGCGACACGGAGACCCCGGCTCCTGACGGGGCGACTTTGGGCCGGTTCCCAGACCCTGTAGCCCCAGAACCGGATGATCTCTGCCCGCGCCGGGGCCACCGACCCAGCGCGCGCAGCTCCAGCCCCGCGGAGGGGGTGGGCCCGGAGCGGAGCAGGGCAGGCAGGGGTGGGGCCTGGGCTGGGGGCGGGGCCC